GTAACTCTCGATCCAACCCTTTATGTAAAATCACATGCTCCTCTGGGAAATGAGGAACGTGTTCCTTGTCCCTAATGGTGATCCGTGTAACATCACTAAATGAGTACATGTACATAGACGTTTCAGGTTGCAGCAAATTTATGGGCACCCCACTGGGTTTTCAAAGCATGAGATGAACAGAGGTGCCTTTGTAGCAACCCTGGACTTCCTTGGTGGTCTCCCATCCAAGTACCAACCTGGGCCAACCCTGCTTAGCTTCTGAAATCTGACGAGAGTGGGCTAGCCTGGGCCATTCAGGTGAGGCCAGGTAATTGATGTACTGACCATCAATACTACTGGTCTTGGGAGCTGTAGGTACACACACTGGTTTCCAAGCTGGGGCTGGCAGAGACTGCAACAGTAAGAAAGTTTAGCTTCCGTTTTCTTTTTCTTTTTTGGTCTCTGGCAGCCATGTTCTTTTACCCACACTCCTGCCCTTGACACTAGTGACATCACAACTCTGGCTTCCTTGTGAATGTCACATCACACATTTCTAACACAACTAAGCCCCATTGCTACTGCCTTGCAGTGGGTTTCATGTCTGGAAAGATTCAATGCCACTAGATGAAGTTAGAAAGAGCTGTAAGGGGAGTCCCCATACAAACTGAAAATGGTGAGTTGAAGGTAAGCCCAAGTAGGGGACCATTCTTGGTGCGGAATTTCAGAAAGCTTCTCAATATAAATCAACAAAACAATTGTTAAGCAAACCATGGGCAAATGTAGCTTGGTAACAGAGCCAGCAGGGAAGTTTTCCACTCGTGAGTCCATTGACTACTCCACCTATAAGGAAGTATTTCATTCTGATCCCGAATTCAAGGCCGTGGAAGTCCATTATGCATAACACAAAACGAATCTGAACTTGTAAATATGAGTAATTTATTGACATACTATGAGGCAGAAACAAAACTGACACCATACAAAATAACTTTATAAAATATCATTCACATCATTTTTGTCAAGATTTACAGCATTTCTGAGCTTGTTACAGGTCTTACGGTATGGAGGTAAAAATAAAAAAAGAACACACTACACTAGATCTTTAGTATTAGTTTATAATATATATACACACCCACCCACACACACGCGCACACATGCACACACATACACAAGAAACCGAAACTAAAAGGTTAGTTTGTCATGAATTTATTGCAGAAGTAGTGCAAAGTATTTTCACCTAGCAAGCTGTAAAACAAACATGGAAAGAAGAATCACCAAAGCTTAAAACAGGACAATGAATGTTGAATTTCACAGTCTTTTGAAGCTTCCTTCAAGAATTTCTCTCTGATTCCCCCAGGGAAAAAGAGAGAGAGAGACTCCATCCCTGTTACGTTATTTGGGGACTATAAATGTTATTCTGAAGGAAACTGGATCTAAGCTGACTTCTGTTTGGGAGATGACATAATATTCTGGGCTCAGGTTTCTGTTAAGGTTTCCACAACTGATTATTCATTAGCTTATTCCTTGGTCACTATAAAATTGTTACAGATCCAGAGGTTAGGCCTTTCTTTTCTTTTCTTTGTTTTTTGTTTTTGGCAAACAGGAAAAAAAGGCACTACCCCAATCTTTGCTATATTCAAGAATGGCCAGACCAGCAAGTCAAGACAAGAGAGCATCTATTGTCTGTTTTACAACCTTGGTATCCCTTCTTTCAAAATCTATGTTGCAAAAAAAATAAAATCACTACATCCTCTACTTTACAATGCAGGGCAGATTTTGATATCAACTACTGAATTAAACATCAGTGAAAGGATAAGAGTATCTAGCCTACGTGAAGAGAGACTAACTCTCCCTCAATTCTTCAGGGATACAAAGAACAAGTACAAATAAAAAAGCCAGGTAGCCGGTTAACACAATAAAACTAATGAAAGCCGAACAAAATGATCTATGAAATAAAAGGAACAAAATGCAGCATATTCAGGCTCTTGTTTCAATCTTGAGGTACCTGTAAGTCTTCTCACTTTCTGCCCAAAGTACTATGGTACATTTAAAAAAAACATTTTGTTAGAACTCTTTACCATAAGCCAATTTACAGGACATTTACTGACAAAGTGCAACAATGCTGATCATTTCATATGCAGCATATTAAAGGATGGTTACTTTTTTATTATAAAATATAGCTTTCCTTATAGACCCTTCAGGGCAGTTTTTGTAAAACACACTTGTTTTCATTTTTTTTTAATTTTTTTTTGTTTGTTTTCTTGTTGACTGAGTTTCTCGGCAGCAAAACTCCATTAGGGCATAGCTTAAATCCTGTCATTTAGGAATGTCGGTGCTCTTGCTTTCCCCCCCGATATTAAAACTAAATATTTTTTACAGGGAACATCTCCCGTGCTGTATTGGTTATGGTTTATAAAGTCTTTCTCCCCCCCCCCCCAGCGTTTAACCCCCAAAGGCTTCAAAAAACAATAGTATATTACAACTCAGTCTCCAAAAAAAGGTTTAAGTAAAAAAAGTTCTCATAGTAAAAAGGGTATTCAAACTGTTATACAAAAACATGCAAAAAAGTTATTTTGACCTTTTTAACTCCCTTACCTGACATATGCACACACCCGCTTCCCACGGAACATGCATAAATGCACAGCCACAAATGCCGGTGTATCTGTAACTGCATATATATGCATCTTCAGCCTGTTCCTTCAATGCACACAGTTGAACACACACATGTCCACATACACTAAGCACCTCCCATGAACTCCCCTGTCCAAGAGGACTTTCCTATTCAAATAGTGGGAACAGACCCAATTTCCTGAATACGTCCCCTCTTTGTTGAAAGAAATGGAGCAGGCCACCCAAAAAGCTCTGTTTGCAGACTGGAGCATACTCAGCCCAGGGCTTTATACAACTTTGAATACTCCGCAGAGAATAGTGCTTGGCCATAGAGATGTATGCATAGAATAGTCTGGGATTTATCTGAGAAGATTTCTACATTTAAAAAAAAATCTCCACGTTACAAGCATTCTATTATGCTGTCTATTTTTTAATCATTTAATACACTAAAATACTTCCCCCCACCCCACCCCCAAAAATAAACTGAACAGTTTTCAGTTTCACTGTTAAAAAGGACTTATTTCTAGGGTAGGGTAAGATGATTTGATTTTACTATGCATTGGGATTCAAAACACAAAAAAGGCACAAACTCAAATACATTTTTCCCTAACCACCCCCCCACCCCATGTTGTCCTTGTCTTTAGATGACAAGTAATCACATACCATTTGGTCACTTTGGACAATCTCATTGATAATTTGAATAAATTAGCACCCAACTGCTTGGTCTGAGGTAGATCCAAACTGGAAAGATAGCTGGGTCCCCAACACTTTGCCTTCCCTTCTAATTAACCTCGGAGACAGAAGGATTCAATGTCAGTCGAAAGATTGGGGGGAGGGGGGAATCACTATTTCAATAGAGCTTTTCAATTAATGTATAAGCTTAGAAATAGACTTCTCTTTCGCACTATATTTCATCTGGGGAAAATAAATGAATAGGTACAGTAATCCCCTAGCCCTTTAAAAAAATAAATCAAATTATATATTACAAAATTTCCCCCCACACACATTGCTGCCTGGATCAATCATATGGCTGTATCCTGGAGCCAATTTCCATGGGTGGGATCCGA